GGGCCAGTCACTGGAAAAGGACCTCCTTTTTGGAAAGGTAGGTCAGCGAAAGAGAAGAAGGCCCTCAGTGAGGTGGATTGACAAGGCGATCCACGAATGGGCTTCGCCCAGCAGAGATTGTGAGCATGGCCCAGGGTGAGGCAGCATTATATTCTCTCGTCCATGAGTTAGAAATACTCGACAGCACCTGACAATCACATCAGAGACTGAAAGAAAAATGGTGTAAAACTTGGGAGACCTGGGAAAACAAGGCAGTCTCATCTAATCCTGGCTCTCATAGTTCTATCTAGTCTGTATGCTCAGTAAGAGAGCTCTGGTAGCCTAGTGCTAAGGAGCTGCAATGATAACCCAAAGGCACACAGTTTGAATCCATCAGCAGCTCTGTGGGAGAAAGATGGACATTCTTCTCCTGTGCAATTTACTGCCTCTGAAAACCTGCTGGAGGGTCAGCTATGAGTGGGTTCTGACCCAGCATATGCTTAGTAAGAGCTTACCAGCTCCAACTGGGGCCTTGCACTAGCTTCAGCTTTTCTTTAGAATAACACTACAATCAAGGATGAATATCCTGGCACAAGACTGCAGAGAACTATCTTAAGTAGCAGTCCTTAGCTCTCAGAAACAAGCCCCGCTTACAATTTGACAGCACTCACATATTTGGTGATTTGAAGATTATATTTCAGTTATTTGTTCTCTAGGAATCAAAAGAGATAAGTCACCACCTTAAGTTTTTTTTCTTGTGTTTCCCATTTCTTTTACCCACTCCTCCCTCTACCTGTCAAATTGTGCCACTCTACGATTTACCCTCCTGCCCATCCTCATCCCTTTGCTCCTCCTCTACCTCCTCTTGGATCCTCATACACTTTTTTTAGTTATAGTACCTTAATTTTTAATGTTGTTGTTATGTGCCATTGAGTCACCTGCGACTCCTAGCAACCCTGTGTACAACAGCTCTGAAGCCTGCCCTGTCCTGAGCCAGTCTCACTGACTCCAACACACCTACCCCATTGCCCCAGTTTTCGTGTTAATCCAGATCATCTGGGATATTCCTCTCCTGTGCTATCCCTCCACCCTTCCAAGCATGATGCCCTTCTCTAAGGACTGATCCCACCTGACCACGTTGCCCAAAGTATGTGAGATGGAGCTTCAAAATTCTAACCTTCAAGGAGAAACTTGGTTTTACCACCTCCAAGACAGACCTGTTTGTCTGGCAGTTCATGATATGTTCAATTCCCTTCTTCAGCACCACAACTCAAAGACATCAGTTCTTCTGTCACCTTTAGTTATTATCCAGCTCTCTGATGCATAGCATGTAATTGCGAAGATGATGGCCTGGACCAGGTGCACCTTAGTCTTCAGACTGATATCATTTCTCCTTAGCACTCTGGAGAGGTCCCTGACAGCACACTCCTCCAATGCAATTTTTATTTATTTTGATTTCCTGACTGCTGGTTCCAAGAGTGTTATAAGAAAACTTTTGCCATTTTACTCAACTTTTTATTGTGATAAAATACATATAACAAATAATTCAGCCATTTCTAAGCACACAGTTCAATAGCAATTGTGTTTATCGTGCTATACCACCATCACCAGTATTTATTTGCAAATTTTTTATTGGTTACAGCAGGAACTCAATGTTGCTTAAGAATTGATTTCTCAGGGAGCTTTGGTGGCCTAGTGGCAAGAAGCTGCACTGCAATCCCAGACGTGTGCGGTTCGAATCCACCAGATGCTTTGCTGGAGAAGGAGGGACAATCTCCTCCTGTATCAGTCAGATCCGATTTGGTGGTACACACACACACACACAAACACCCCCCAAAATAAAATTTTTAAAAATTACTTCTGTTTCCCTCTCCCACCTGCCCACAAGTAGACTTTGGTCTCTATGTATTTATTTGCCTGCCTTAGATAATTCACGTAAGTAAAACTGTGCAATCCTTGTCTTTTTCTGTCTTATTTTTACCAAGACTTTTCAGTTCATCCATGACACAGTATTAGTGACTGTCTTCTAATGTGCACAATGTGTCGGAATCAATGGTGTGAGTGCTGAGACTAGAAACTAGTTATTGATTCCTCCTTGCTCTTTTTCCTGGATCACTTGCTTGAGGGAGACTAGCAACTATGTTGTAAGCATCCACTAGCAGCCCTTTAGAGAGTAATGAGAGACTCCAGTCAATAGCCAGCAAGGAGCTGACATGCCCAGCCAATAGCCATGTGTCTACAGCATCTTGGAAGCAGGTCTTTTAGACTCAGTCATGTCTTGCATTAACTGTAGCCCTGACTGAGGGCTTGAGAGCAATGTTAAGAATTTTCCAGTTGAGTCACTCCCAGACTATGTAACAAGAGAAATGCTGAGACAACATATATTTATTATTTCAAGATGCTCCATCCAGGGAGTAATTTATTGTGCAGCAAAGGCAACAAATACATTTCCTACCATAAAATTGTGCTTCATCAGAACATTGGATACTTTGCATGTATATTCATGGCCCCCCCTTTTTTTTGTTGTCGTTGTGTGCTGTTGAGTCAGAACTGACTCATAATTGACCCTCTAGGGAGTTTTCAGAGGCAATTAATCGCACAGGAGGAAACTGCCCAATTTTCTCCTGTAGATCAGCTGGTGGATTCAAACCATGTACCTTTGAGTTGACTGTAAAATTCCTTACACTAAGCTACCAGAGCTCCCTGACAGATGTTTAGAAAACTAACAAAGATTAGCAATCACTGGAGATCTGCCAATAACCACTAGGAGGCTGGTGATTCAGACAGGCACCCCACTCTTGTTCCTGTCCCCTGAGATTGGCATTGTCCCAAGACAATGTCATTCTGAAAGCAAGACATCAGTGTGGCCCATGTTGAGTGTTTCAACTCTGATAGTATTTGTTTGCCTGGGTTCCTGTGCTGAAATCTAGGCAGGTTAGCATAGGACCAGAATTGTCTTTGGGTTTTTTTTTTCCTAAAAAGTTCACGAAACACGGCACTTTTAGATTTGGAAATTAGACCTGGCTTCTGTGATGAGGAGACATTTGAAACATATTTAATTTTACTTGGAAAGAATTTCTCCTCTCTTTTCTAGAGAAACTCCTGGGTTGTGTAAAACATCTTGGTGGTGAGTTGAGAAGGCAAAAGGAGTTGGAAGGGAACTTGGAAATAACTTGAAATTGCATTGCTTGTTGTTGTGTCTTCTGTCAAGTCAGAACTGACCCATAGCTGGCCCTCCAGTGGGCTATTAGAGGTAGTCAATTGCACGAAAGGAGATTGCCCATTCTCCTTCCATGGAGCAGCTGGTATTTGAACCAGGTGCCTTTGAGATTGCAATGCAGTGCAGCTTCTTAGTACCAAAACACCAGAACTCCCTGAAATTGTATAGTTCTGTGAAATCTCCATCTTTCTGCCGGATTTGTCTGTCAGCCATATGGATTCTGTTGAGAACCTGGGACATGGTTGGGTTGTGGTTGTAATGATGTGGGTGGCTGGCCGAGCAAGAGAATTCTCATTAGAATATGCAAGAGACGTAAAGTGAGCAGGTCACTTGGCCCTAAAGTGACATTGCTCACCTGGGCCTGTGGGCAAAGTGTAGAGGACAGGAAGGTGCTTCCTGCAAGGTACAAAAGACTCGGGACTGTGCCCTTCACCCTGCTAAGCCTTTGGTGTTGTTGGCAAAGCCTTTTATAATGGTCTGGCCTTCCTGGCCTAGTTCACCCTGTAAGCATCCTGTATAGAGCCACGATTCAGAAAATAAAGCTGACTTAAAGTACTTGCTGATAAAGATCAATGACTGTGAAAGGAATGAAAATCCTCACAACTCCCCAATAAGCATCTTGATAATAAGACCTCTTCTAAGTGTTAAAAAAAAAACACAAGGATATCACTTCGAGCACTCCGGTGCTCTGGACCAAGCCGTGATATTTTCAGTTGCCTCATAGTCATGTGAAAGCTGGACAATAAATAAGGAAGACCAGAGGAGAATGATGCCTTTAAAATGTGGTGTTAGGGAGGGAGCGCTGGTGGCCTACTGGCAAGAAGCTGCACTGCAATGCCAGAGGTGCATGGTTCAAAACCACCAGATGCTCTGCTGGAGAAGGAGGGGCAATTTCCTCCTGTACCAGTCAGATCCGATTTGACGGTACATGCACACACACAAAATAATAATAATAATAATAAAGTATGGTGTTAGGGAAGGGCATTGAATGGACTATGGACTGCCCAAAGAACAAACATCTCTGTCTTGGAGGAAATACAGCCAGGATGCTCCTTAGATGCATGTGTAGTAACATTTCATCTCATAGATGTTGGTCATATTATCAGGAGGGTCCAGTCACTGGACAAGGATAAATATGCTTGGTAAAGTAGATGGTCAATGGAGGAAAGGGGGGTTCTCACCCAGATGGAGTAACGCAGCGGCAACAATGGTTCAGACACAACAATGAGTATGAGGATAACACAGGACCACGCGATAGTTTGTCCTGTTGTCCATGGAGTCCCCTTGAACCAGAACCGGTTTGATGTCCTCTAACGACAGTAATAACAACAATCTTTAGCTGGAGGTGCTTGCTAGAACTGTGAGCCCTTCCATATTCTTTCTCATAGTGTGTGGAGTTGGCAGAAATCTGCCTCCCAAAATGTGCACCATGAGAAAAACAAGAAGTCTGTAAGTAGTGGTGTCCCAGGTCTGCTCCTGCCTCCCAGAGGTTGGCGCCAAGGACAACCTATGAACGCTTGAGATTCAAGGTCCAGAGGTGCTTGAACCTATTGGGAGACACCCATTTAATTGGGGGAAATCATCACCTTCTCTAAAGAGCAGATAAAGTCATCGTTTGCCCTATGTGGTTGCCTGAAGCTAAGTGGCCAAAAGTTGCCACAAGAAATGAGTGAAGAAAGCAAGACACCAATTTGGGGATGTGTGTGAGATGTTGGTGGCTGTGGATCATCCCCCAAGTGGTGCTCCAGTGAATCCCAGGTGTCAGCGGGGTGATCGCCTTGTGCTCTTTCTAGAAACTGACCGCCCACGTTGCATCTGAGGCCGGTGTTGGCTAGAATCTGGTTTGATTCTGGGGAGCTGAGGCACAGGGTCATGCCTAGTGGCAGACAGTGATGTTCTGCCAGCAGCACTGAGAGTCCCAGTGTCCTGTGCCTTCTTGTCCAGGGCCTGGATTTGGCTGGCAGTGTGAGGTATGGTTCCTGGAGAATGAACAAGACAGAGTGACAACAGGAGAGTTTTCTGGCATCAACTCTACGCTCTGTGGAGCCACCCTGTAGAATGTTTAGACTCAGGTCCTGCTGGATCGGGTGAGAGCTGTCAGAATGCCCACAGGTGTCTGAGGCACCCTAACCTAGTGTCTTTGCATAAACCAGTTCTGGAAATGGGAAGGATCCAGTAGGGACTTGAAAAGATAGGGTAATGATGGGCATAGTCCAATGGGGATTAATTTTATAAAATGTAATGAAGGAGAATCATTATATGAAACATAATTTGAATGAAGAATACCGTGAAACATAATGAATTCAAACTTTGTAAAGAAGCCAATATAAAAAAATTTTAAAGTGAAGTAATCATATAATCTTATGTGTCTTGGTAAGTAGAGCTAATAATAAATACCTATATTATTTACTTGAAAAAGAAAGGAAGGAGAGAAGGAAGGGAGGGAGGGAGGGAGGGAAGGGAAGAGAAAGAAAGAAGAATAAAGAGAAAAATAAAAAAGAAAGAGAGAGAATAGGGTCTGTTGGATGGAGAAGTTGGTTTTAAGCTCTGTCCCTTGGCTTGTCTCTCTGAGCTTGAGTTTTCTAAAGCATGAAATTGGGACAGCAATAAAAATAGCCTTACAGGATGGCTGGCAGGGCCAAATATGATGACAGAAGGACAAGGGAAACTGGGATCAGGTTTTATTTCTAGCTCTTTCAATTGTCTGCTTTCTTCCATTTCCTTAACTCCTTTCTTGTTAGGGACAAAGACTGATCAGATCTTTATCAAACTTATTTCCTCTTCTTCTGGGACACAGAAGTGTACTAGGCTTCCCTTATGGACAGGTATGGCCATGTGCTGAGTCTCAGACACTAGAGTGCACCACATCCATTTGTGCCCTCCAGACTTTTCCCTTTGTACCTGTTGGGCACATGTGTAGCCATCGGCTGGAAGGACCCTAGATCTTCAGCATTACGTGTAAGAAAGTGACCATTAACTAGCCTGAGACTAGAGGAACTGGGAAGTTTCTGGCTACCGCTACCACAGCTGATTATTCTGGTCAGAATCACAATACAAGGTTCTGAATGGAATGAAACCGAAATCTAGAACAAGGAGGCTCCCACGGAGTGGCTGATTTTGATCCACTGACTTTTATCAGCAGCCAAGTGCTTAAACACTGTGCCACCAGGGCCCCTTATGTTGTTGATGTTAGTAGCTGTCATCAATTTGGACCCCAATGCAAGTCGACCCCATGCACAACAGAAAGAAACACTTCTGGTTTATTCCATCCTCATGACACAGTTGTGGGATCCGGCCATGATGATTACTAGGTCTTTCTTCTAAGTCTAGATTAGCCTGGAAACTCCACTGAAACATATCCAGTATCATAATGGCACTAAAACCTCCACTGAAGAATGGTGTATGAGGTGCACTGTATGAGAATTGAACCTGGGTCTCTAGACTGGAGTGTAAGAATTCTATCACTTTACCACTATGACACCAAGTGAGGAATTTTAGAGACTAGAAAAACCCTGAATGAGGGGTGGTGGTATTATCTCTATTTCTAGATATTTCTACACCTATGATTGTCATTGCTACTACTACTAACTAAGTATTCATTCTCTCTGCCAGAAATTCTGTTAAGAACTTTATATACACTCTCTCATCTTATGTCATCTCACATCATATCATCTCATGTCATGTCAGGTCACGTCATTTCATCTCATCTTCATTACCCCATGAGGCCCACCTCATTATGATTAGCTCCATTTGATAGATGGAAATTCTATTGTAGAAACAGACCTTCATAACTCATCCAACTCCTTACTATGATCAACGCTCAGAGTCTGCTTTTAATACTAGACTGGTCTGATTTCCAACATGTGTAATGTATATCTTTCCATGTGGTGATGTGAAAAGTTTAATAATGGAACAAGATTTACCTTCTTTGGGGAGTTGGACCTGGGTGGCATTCTTGGAGCATTCTTCAAGTGTGTCCTCTGAGTCTTTGATTGTGGCTTTGCCTTTGACAAATTTGTGACTCTTCTCAACTTCACGGAGCTACAGGAAGAAAAACACACACATACACACAAAAATACCCCTTTTGTTGGACCTCTCCGGGAGAATGAGTGTTTGAGGCTTAGAACATAGAGGAGTGGGAGTCAGAGAGCAAGGATTCTGTTTGCAACTTCTGGTAGTGATGTTTACTGCCATTGAATCAGCTCCTGATTCCTGATACGCAACAAAACAAAAACACTGTCTACTCTTTTGACTTCTCCGTGATTGATTGTAGATCGGACTATTGGGATCCATAGGGTTTTCATTAGCTAATTTGTGGAATCAGAACACAAGGACTTTCTTCCTAGCCTAACCTCTCTTCTTAGTCCATACTTGCCTGGAAATTCCACTAAAGCCTGTATCCTATCACAACAATATGCAAACTTCCACGTATAGATGGGGGAGTGGCTGCACATGAAGGGCATTGGCCTGGAACCGAACCAAAGTCTTTAGAAATGGAGGCAAGAATTCTACTAGTAAATCACCAATGTAACCAAGTTCTTACTTGTTAAGGTTCTAACTACCTTAGAGTGCATAAGGTGTCAATCCTCACTGCACAGGGAGACTCGAGACTCAGATTCACATGGTGTTTGAAGGAATTAGAGGAGGGGAAGTAACATTTAGGATTCTCTATTTCAATGATTTTCTGTATCTGGGCAGAAACCCAGTGAAGTAGCAGGAGTATTAGATGGGAAACTGGCAACCAGATAGATGGGTACAAGTCTATGAAGAGAGGAAGGAGCAACAAGTGGGCAAGGGCCAGGGTCTGTCCTTTAGTGTCTGTAGGAAGAAGGGAGATGGGATGGGAGAGTGAAAAAGTAATGAGAAATGAGTCAGATGAGATGCTAAGAGGCTGCTCATTTGTGATGCAAACTCAGGAGACCTCTTAGGCTAAGGGGCACAAGTAATATGTTGTTTAGCTAACAATAGTTTTTGTAGTGTATAGTATTAATCTACTAGGAGTTATTGTGGGTAATGGTTCTATTATGTATGCATATTGTTTGACTCCACTGAATTTCCTCTGTTTATTAACAACCTCTCATCATTTAAATAATTACTTTTCATGCAACCTTATGTATCTCAAAAACATGGATGCATGCTGTTGGATCTCACAGGCCTACTTTCTACAGTGCAGATGCTTTTTGGTTTGGTTTAGAAGGAAGTAATTTATCAAATGCAATTGGACCTAAAATTTTCAAAAAAAGCAAACATATGACATCTTTTAAACTCCAGAATGAAATTCTTGCCAGACTCACCGCTTGGATTTTCTTTCTCAGCTGGGCATTAGCTCTGCCAAGGCTTTTGGAGACTGAGTTCAAGTAGTAGATGGCCAAGCTGTAAGAAAGTGTGTCTCTTGTAGTCTTATAATCTTGGGAATGGACACAGGTTCACACTTTCCCCACTGAAGTAATACAAGGATTCCTGGAATGGTTACTAGCCTTTGCATCACAGTAGGAGGATTATCCTACCATCCTAAATTCCCCACTTAACCCAAGGAAAGGTCTTAAGAGTTTCCTCTTCCTTTCTCTATTCTACTGAGTGAGAATTTTATCTATACGCCTCTAGTTCTCAAAGTATATATTAAGGGTTACAGAGTATGGAAATTATAAAATAATATCATTAATATTACATACAAGCAAGATCCTTCTGAATATTATCCAGAAAGACTGGAACAGCACAACAACAGAGAACTGGCAGATGTGCAAGCTGGGTTTAGAAGAGGCCATGGCACTAGGGAAATTATAGCCAATGTTAGATGCATCTTAACTGAAAGCAGAGAGTACCAGAGGAATGTGTATCTGTGTTTCCTTGACTATGCAAAGGCGTTTGACTGTGTGGATCACAACAAATTGTGGCTAACTCTGAGAAGAATGGGAATCCTAGAACACTTGATTGTTCTAATGCGAAACCTATACTTGGACCAGGAGGAAGCCATCAGAGCAGGGAAATACTGCATGATTCAAAGTCAGGAAAGGTATGCATCAGGGATGCATCCTGTCTCCATACCTTTAAAGTCTATAAGTAGAACAGATCGTTTGGGAGGCTGGGCTATGTGAGGAGGAATTGGAGGAAGACTCATCAACAACCTGCATTATGAAGATGACACAGCCTTGCTTGTTGAAACTAAGAAGGACCTGAGGCATTTGCTGCAGAAGGTCAAGGACTGCAGCTTTCAATATGGATTGAAGCTCAGCATCAAGAAAACAAAGATTTCACTACTGGGCTGATTGGCAGCATCATGATAGATAGAGATTAAGATTGTTAACAATTTCAGTTTGCTTGGTTCCACAATAAACATTCTTGGCACCAGCCATCAGGAAAACAAAAGACAAATTGCATTTGAAAAATCTGCTGTCAAGGACTTCACCAGAGTACTGAAGAGCAATGATATCATCTAGAGACTAAGGTGCACCTGATGCAAGCCATGGTCTTTGCAATTACTGGTTATGCATCAAAGAGCTGGTGACTAAGGATGATAGAAGAAGAATCTATGCCTTTGAGTTATAGTACTGGAGAAGAGTCTTGAACATAACATGGACTTCTAAGAGAACAAACAGTTCTGTCCTAGGGAGGGTGTAACCAAATTGTTCCCTGGAGACAAAGATTTTAAAGCTCCATCTCACAACTTTGGGCATGTTGCCAGGAGGGACCAGTCCTTTGAGAAGGACATCATACTTGGAAAGGTGGAGGATAGTGCAAGAGAGGAAGACGTAGACGAGATGCATTGACTCAATGACTGGGGCAATGAGGTAGTAGGTGTGTCAGAGTTGATGAGACTGGCTCAAGACAGGGCAAGGTTCAGAGCTATTGTACATGGGGTTGCTATGAGTCACAGGAAACTTGATGGCACATAAGGGGCCATTCCTTTTCTGGGCAATCTGAACATGTTGGAATGTGGCATCTTTCTTGTCTGCAAAAGAAGTCACTTGCATTTCCTGGGCTGCTACTCCATGCTGAGTTCAGTGTCATGTACTTCTACATCCACATCTCATTGAGGTTGATGAAAACCCTATGAAGCAGAAAAGATTATTCCTATCTCTACAGATGAGTATCCAAATTTCAGGGAAACTAAGGAACTTACCCAAGATTGTCCAACTTTTAGTATTCTGTACCAGTTAGTATTGAATTAATTCCAACTCATTGTAACCTCATATATAATAGAGTAGAACTGTGCTCCAGGGTTTTGGATGGCTGGTTCATCAGAAATAGATTATTGCGGAGGGCTTTGTAATACTGTCAGTGACTACATGTCCCTTGAACACTGTCAATTTGCTCCTTAAAAAAATACTAATCACCTGAGCTTTCGTCCTAACCCCTTCTAGAAACCATTTTACTCAAGAACACAGCTGTTGAAAATTTCTGGGATTAATTTCCCATCTCCTAGAAGAGAAACCAATGACACATGGGAGTTGGTCTACAAATGCCCGAAGTCTCCACGTTTAGGGTGGGATGACATCCACAATATATCCCAAAGTTCCCCAGAAGGACCACGTCAAGAGGTAGCAAGACTAACAATGAATGTTCCCTTCCCCACTTCCTTCCCCGCCTCCCCAATAAACTACTTGAATTTGGATCTTGAGATCTATTTCTGGAGAATCTAGGGCAAGAAACAAGAAAGAAGACCCTTTTACACAATATCTCAATTGCAAGGGGAAGTTTCCATGCAGAAGAGTCAGGGATTCTTGCCAACTTACAACATCAGCAGGATGGCTGGAATGATCAGGCCTGGATTAGCAAGGAAAGCAAAGATCTTTCCCAGGAAAGATGGGAAATCATTTTCGATGGTCTCATAGATGACGTCATACATTCGGTTTTTCCCGCTGTAAAGAGGAGAGGACAGGTTACAGGGTAGTCAAAGCTCGTGTGCCACACAGAACCAGGTCCAATTTCAGTGGATTTTAAAATTTTTATTAGTTCAAGTTAAATAAGAATTCAAATAATAATATTAAAGTGTTTCCTTAAGAGTACCACTTACACTCCCAACTTGGGTAGGATCCAGCCTCAACACACTCATACGCCCATTCTTAGGGACCCGTTTCTATATACTTTACAAAGAACACATTTAATTCTCATTCCAGTTGTTAGACATATTATTATTCCATTTTATAGCTAATTGTGCCTGAGGTGCAGAGAATTTAAGCTGCTCAAGATTACCAGCTGGTAACTGACTTCAAATTCTATACTTTAAACCAGGAGGTAGCAAGTTTTTTTTAAAAAAGGGTTAGCTAATAAAGAATTTAGGCTCTCTAGACAATCTTTGTTACTCCTACACATTTCTGCTGATGGAATGTGAAAGCATATGTATTCCAATAAAACTTTATTTACAGAAACAAAGACTCCTGGCTATAGCTTGCCCAGCTTGTTCCTTTATGCTACTGGCTTGGCTGCTGTTTGCCTTTGGCCTATCTAAGTAAGCTCTTAGTCCCTTCTTGTCCAGTGGAGTTTTCATTTACTGTGAGGGACCTAGTTTGAGCATCTGGCATACAATATGTATTCCCTTAAGGGAGGGAGAGAGGGGCCGAGATTAGTAGGTGGATGAGTAGGGGGAAGGTAAAAGCAAGGTAAAGTGAAGATCTGATGAGGAGTTGTAATGAATAGTGTTAATTGTAAGTAATATAATAAAATGTGTATGAATGATTGAGTGAAAACAAAAAAAATGGGCATTTATCTTATACTCCAAGCATGCATGTGATGTTGTGTACAATCATGTCGGAACAGACCCATAGCTGACCCTCCGGAGGGTTTTCAGAGGCAGTTAATCGCAAGGGAGGAGATTGCCCATACTTCTCCCACAGAGCAGTTGGTGGATTCGAACCGCGTGCCTTTGGGATTGCAGCGTTACTTCTTACCACTAGGCCACCAGAACTCCCTTAAGCATACATGTAACAGTGTTTTAAAAAGGACCTCAAATCACTGCTCTCACAAGTCAGCAACCACTTGCCTTGTCCTAGTCTCTTTTGTGGTGGGTGCTACATGAATAAAGGGTTCTGCAGTCAATAGGAAGAGAACACATTATCTTACATTTATAGGGTCGTTATGAGTCATGCTTGACTCAAAGGCAATCGACAACAACAACAACAACAACAATGAAGGTGTGTGCACTGTTTCTAAGTGAGGAAGTGGCAGGTAGAAGGGCAGCAGGTTTCAAATTTTCTACTCATAGAACACCTTCTTAAGGAGTACAGAGAGGGCTTTGCCTTCTGAGCACCACACATTTGGAAAGAGCCACACACGTATATTATTGTTACTTTTACCTCTTTGTTTAATTATAAGGTATCCAATCCCTTAGCTACTTGATGTCTACCTCTGAATCCATAGTGGCAAAGACCCTGCAGAGTATGGGGGCCCAACTGAGAATCTCAAGAATTGACCGTAGCTGCTTGGTATATGACAAGCACTTCTCCACTTAGTGCCGTTTCATCTTCAGAACATCTCCACCATTATTCATCCATCGTGCAGGAATCAAGACAACGGTTAGTAGCATATTAAAAGATCTCTTCAGTTACCTCCAGTCAGTACCAACTATGACAAACCCATGTGCATCAGAGTAGAGCTGAGCTTCATGGGATTGCCCAGGTTACAATTGTTCAGTAGGTTGGCAGGCCTTTCTTACAAGGTGCCACTGATTAGATTCAAACTAAAAGTCTTTCAGTTAGCAGCTGAGTGTGCCAGCCACAAACAAACAAACTACTATTAAAAGGAGCTCTTGTGACTATGGTCATGGCGGAGGGGACGGCAGTGCTGAGGAGGAACAGACCGGGGACCAAGGCTCAGGATTTCTATAACTGGCCTGATGAATCCTTTGATGAAATGGACAGTACATTGGCTGTTCAACAGTATATTCAACAAAACATAAGAGAAGATTGCTCCAATATTGACAAAATTCTTGAACCACCTGAAGGCCAAGATGAAGGTGTATGGAAGTTAAGGCAGTTCTGTCTTGAACTAAATGGACTTGCTGTCAAACTTCAGAATGAGTGCCATCCAGATACATGTACTCAGATGACAGCAACTGAACAATGGATTTTTCTTTGTGCAGCTCATAAAACTCCCAAAGAGTGTCCTGCTATAGACTACACTAGGCACACACTTGATGGTGCTGCTTGTCTTCTGAATAGCAATAAATATTTTCCTAGCAGGGTTAGCATAAAAGAATCATCTGTAGCGAAACTAGGATCAGTATGCCGTAGGATTTATAGAATATTTTCACATGCTTATTTTCATCACCGGCAGATATTTGATGAATATGAAAATGAAACATTTTTGTGTCATCGATTTACCAAATTTGTGATGAAATATAATTTGATGTCCAAGGATAACCTGATTGTACCAATTTTAGAAGAGGAAGTACAGAATTCAGTTTCTGGGGAAAGTGAAGCTTGAAGGGAATCATAGAAAATGCACTGGACACATAATTAATATTCATTATGTACTGTGTATATATATCATTTTAGACACATCAATCATGTACCCATATTATAGCTTCTTTGTTTAGTATAGGTTTTTGTATGCTGTGTGTTGCCTTTTAAAATGGGAAATACTTTTTAAGTTATTCATGAGCTGTATATTCACTGGGGTGGCACTCATGGTTTTTAAATAAGATTAGTGTTATCTGTTTATAAAGCCTGTTAATAAAAGAATTTACAGTTTGGTAAAATTGCTGCTAAACAATCATTGGATCACAATCCTCATCAAATAAACCCATCTATGAAAAAAAAAAAAGGAGCTCTTGTTGCTTACAGGTAACAATTGCCCTGGCAACCCAAAGGCACACGGTTCAAATCCACCAGCTGCTCTGCAGGAGATGGGTAATCTCCTCCTGTGCAATGAACTACCTCTGAAAACCAGCCAGGGGGTCAGCTTAGAGGATCAGTTCTGACTTGATAGTAAACAACAACAATATTAAAAGGAATGGACAATTGCAATTGCAATTGCATTGTCCAGTCAATAGTCTCTTGTGGTTCTTTAAAATGAAATAAAAATGGAAGTTCAGTTTTCCAGTGGCTCTGGACACATTTCAAGTGCTTAACACTTGTGGCTAGTGACTATCGTATCGATCGATTCACACATACACATTCCATCGTTGTAGAAAACCCAAATGGACAGCTTGATGATTCGCCCAAAGTTCTAGGGCCTTCTGCAGGCTGATGTGGAACTAGACTGGGGTTTGGACCAGAGTTCTGTGAGCTGATTGCTCTCGGTCAATCGTGACTCTGCACCTGAACGGCCCACAGTCGAAGGAGGGCGGGAGGGACATGATGGTGTAGGCCACGGGCAGGAGGCTGAGGAAGAGCACCAGAAGCAGGAGGCCCATGTAGAAGTTGTTGGAGCGGGAAGCTTTGAACACACGCTCGTGCGGGACGTTGCTGCTCATCACGGCCCAGCACTGGAAGTACATGGAGGTCAGCAGACGCAGCACATTAATGCCCACCAGTCCTGGGGCGTAGAAGGAGCCCATCCTGGAAGAGCAGAAAGCAGAGACACTGGTTGACCTGACAGCAGGGAAATCAAGGCGAGGGTGGTAAAGGGATGGGCTGATGGATTAAGGCCATGAAGACGTGCTGCCCTCCCTATGAGTTCCAAGAGAGGGGTCTTCTAATTAACAAGGACATTGATCATCAAGCCTTAGCAATTAACTCCTCAGGACAGGGAAGTATCCCTGGTTGCGGTTCTTGCCAGGATTTTACCTGCCTTACTACCAAGCCACCCCCAAATTGCATAGCCCCTGCATGTTTCTCTTTAAAACAATGTTGGTGTTCAGAAAGGGTTTTGGAGTCCTTAAATGAAGGGACTTGGTTTAAATTAAGAGACTTAGGTGGCTTGCAGTGAGTCCTTGGCAGCTGTTGAAGACTTTGGCCAAAGTTAAAACACTTCTACCTTCCTTTTAGAAGGAGAGAATGCCTTCGTGTTCCTTCTTACCATCTCCTCATCGTCCTCCTCCTGTACTCTCCCCACCCTCTTTATTTCCACTGTGGCACATGGGTAGACCAGAAATATCTTGGCTTTTATGTAATCCTGGTTTCTATTTTTCAAGTGAATGAAAGAAGCTCAAGAGGCAGGACGATTCGTCCAGTTCCTCCCACATTTGTTCTCAAACACTGTTATGAAGTTCTCCTTGCTGTGGACGTGGAGCGAGCAGGCTTGTAGAAATGACAAGACTAGGCAGAAGCGTCCAGGCTTTTTGACTCCTGAATGAGGCAATTCCTAGACAAAACAGACAACTCACCAGATCATTCCTTGGTTGAAGATCAAACCCAGTACATTTCCACTAATATCAAACTCAGCATATGAGGGCTGGAGGGAGTTGCAGTGAGGCAGAGAGAGAGAAGTATGTTAGCTGGTGTCAGCCTGACCCCACACCCAATCAACCCATTGAACCAATACCACTCCATCTTCAAGTGCAGATCAGGTAACCAAAGAGCAACCTTAGATTCCAGGTTATGCCTCTTTAATAGGCTTTTCACTTTTGAGGAAAAGTTTTAAATATATTTAAAGTTGAAACTTTTTCAACAAAAAATTTAAAAATAGTTTCTACTTTTTAGGGCTTCAGGTTTACAGAGTGTTCTTGGAAGGCTCCTTGGCCATAAAAAAGCATTTTGTCAATTCTCTTAAGCAGTAATTTACTTTGAAATTATAATCAAGAAGTAACTGTTCTCAAAAACAATGTACTCAAAATTTGTAAATCAACTAGTAGAAAAAAAGAAGTATAAATAAATAAAACAGAAATCACTAAATTCACAATCAAATGGAGAGAAAGCTTTAAAACAAACAAAATGTAAGCTGTTTCCACAACTTCTTTTTTTCTCTTCTCCTGGAGATGTTCAGGGGAGGATAAGAACTTAGCTGGATTCAGTTTTGGGGTTGATTCTGATGTTGGCTTCTGGTGATTTGTCAAGTATTAGTGTGAAGACGAAGTTTGCGTTCTAGGGCTGGTGGTGCTTATGCAGAATACATAAACCTGTTTCCCAACTTGATTCTCAGAGTTGGAGGTAAAGGATAACAGGAGTGACAAAGGAAGGAGTGAAACATTGGGAAGGAGAAAAGAAAGGTCAGATGGATAAGGATCAGAGGAGAAAACCTGCCTAATACTTAGTTAGACTGGAGGTCGAGTCTGGGATTAATGTCAACAATTTTAAAAAACCTATCTAGTGGGTTTTTCTGTCCTCCTTAGAAAAACCTTTCCCACTTTGATATTACAAATAATTTCAAATATGCTTTCTTTCAGATATCTATGATTTGATTATCTTAAGATTTTAGAACTTCAGAGACTGGGGTAATCGGGATGGGTGTGTCGGAGGCAGTGCAATTGGCACAGGATAGAGCAGCGTTTAGGGCTGTTGTACATAGGGTTGCTATGAGTCGCAAGTGACTCGATGGCAGCCGACAACAACAACAACAACAACAACAGCATTTTACCCCAAGTTTACTTAGGTGAAATGAGAGAGGAACATATTCCTCTACATTCAAATGGTTGATCAGTTGTCCCAATCACTTTATTATGGAATTCTTTCCCCCTAGCTTTGGTTTGAAAGTCTTCTTTCATCATCAACTAGATAAAACTGAAGGAAGATAGATTATATCTCATCTTGGACTTCCCATTTTGCTCCACTGAGAAATCTACCTGTTTCCCAGTTTTAATTACTAGAGCTTCATAATATATTTAAATATATTTTAGGACTAGTCCTTTTTAGTCTTTTTTGGAAGATTTTTCTTGGCTTTTCTCACAGTCTGATTTTCCTCATTTGGTACTCTTTTGGGGTTTTGTTAGACTTTGAAATTGAGGGCAATGACATCTTCATAAGGCTGTGTCTTCCTAGCATTTTTGTTCTCAGACAAAATGATGATGCTTTCATTGCTGGTAAGAAAGAGTTAAATAGGCTTGTCTAAAGCTGTGGCTAGAGACTGAAAGAAAAGAAATGGATGGAAACCTGTACAAAGGCCATGAAGCAGGCAGGAAAAGGGTTATTTGGATAAGCAAGATACAGATCTTCTCATATACATACACTATATGGTGTGCCAATGAGTGGTCACATGTAGACAATGGGCCAGCATTTCTGGTCACTATGGTGACATGGACTTAGGATGAACAGTTTACACTCAGGGATGAAGGGAAGAGGACTGTCATAAGTCAAAGTATAAGAATAAAAAAATAAAAAAATTAAAAAAATTCTCAAACATTAATCAGAAGATACTTCCAGCAGTTACTGTGTAATTGATGTGTTTCATAACCTTCTGAAGATGTCATTGCCCTCAATTTAAAAGTCTAACAAAATCCCAACATACATAAATAGGTGAAATGAGAGAGGATTTTCTGAATGATTCACCCCTACAAGGGACAGTACAGGAGAGAGAGACTCCAGATGAGATGGATTGACACAGTAACTGCGGTCGTGGGGGTAGATGTCTCAGAGACAGTGAGACTGGCTCAGGATAGAGCAGAGTTCAGAGCTATTGTACATAACGACTCAACAGCACATAACAACAACATGCTTTCTCCTGTTTCAAGATTTCAACTTTTATCGTGAGAGTTGAAGGGAGTTTCTGGTAGCCTAGTCTGTAGGGAGATGTGGTGTTAACCCCAAAGATGCATCTCTCTGGCAGTTCGAATCCACCAGCAGCAGCTTTGAGAGACTTATAGGTGGCTTACAGCCCTGGAAATCCAGTGGAGATTTATCTAGGAGTCGGTTCTGACTTGATGGCAGTGAGTTTTTATTGAATGAGAATTCATGGGGACAGTGATAGTTTCTGGGAGAAGTCTTGCCTTCCACGTGGGTGATCTGGGTTTGATTCCTGGCCCAGGGACCTCATGGATAGCCACCGTAAATCCTCCTGTGTGCTTCTCTGACAATCAACAAGTCTCAATAGAGCTTCTAGACTATAGTAGACTAGGAAGAAAGAGCTGGCAATTGTTTTTTAGACATTCAGCTAATGAAAGCTGTATGGATTCCAGTTATCTGATGCATCAGGACTGACTTGATGACTAACAATGAGATTTCACACTTCTTAGGCCTCTCTTTATCAGCAATTTGTGCAGTTGATGAGATTTGATACCTCTTAGGCATTTCTTTGGGGAACTCTAGTGGCTTAGTGGCAAAGAATTGCACCTGTCAACCTTTAAAATTTCTTGGTTTGAATCTACCAGCTGCTTCATGGCAGAAAGATGGGCAATCTCTTCCCATATGATTTACCGCCTCTGAAAACCCTGCATACTGGACAGTACACAACGACGACGAAGACAGGGGTTTTTCTTTATCAAGAATCTGTTCAGAACTGTAGTGTGTGCGCTGCCTTTTTCCAAGGCCAAACACCTCCAGATCCCAGATAAGAACAACACATTAGCATGTGAAAAAGCAGAGTTTCCTTTTAAGAGACAAATGGGGCACTTAAAATGCAGATTAAATACTTCAGTGCTTAACAGAGACTGACATCAAACATCTAAAGAAGTGCATGCGAGCACCTCTGTCTCTAAGTATCAAACAAGATGCCTGAGTTGCCTTTCCATAGGATATCCGTGAAACCACGACCTACAAATCCAGCCTCGAGGTCCCAGCACCAGCAGTAGTTCATGAATCGGACAAAACACGCCCGCAGGAAGTCTCCTACCAGGATGGTGATGTATGTTACCAGCATGTCGGACACTGTCAGCCTCATGAATTCCTGAGAGGAGAACACAGGGAAAAGTGGTGCTCAGGCTTCACCTTGCCCATGTCTCCCCACCACTTGCAGTCACTTGATATTTCCCCTCCCTGAGATTCCATCTAACATACTTTGGACATGTTGTAAGGAGAGACCGGTCCTTGGAGAGGGACATCATGCTTGGGAGGGTGGAGGGACAGCGCAGGAGGGGAAGGCCCTCTATGAGGTGGATTGATTCAGTGACTGGGGTAATCGGGATGGTGTATATCGGAGACAGTGCTATTGGCACAGGATAGAGCAGAGTTTAGGGCTGTTGAACACAGGGTCGCTATGAGTCGCAAGCGAATTGATGGCACATAACATCATCAACAACAAGAAGCCTGGATTTGTCTTCAGGACCCTGGTTCTTGGTGGCAGAGTGGCGGTGTAGAGCAAAGACCTCAGGCTTTGGAATATGCTTAATTTAGGTCTGCAAGATTCTAATTGTATAGCCTTGGTTGAAATAGTCTTTCTGAACCTGTTCAAATTGACGCTGCCACCTCTGCAGGGGTATTGCGAAGTATAGTGACTGTATAGGCAAATCACTTTGGAAATACCATTGATAACCTTCCTGACTACAATTCAAGCATGACACACATGGAGTCGTGATGAGCCGGGGTTGACTAGGTGGTATCTGGTGGTGTGGTGGCCTTCTAAAGAGTGTGGATTTATGATCCTTTTCCAGCTCATAAACATGATGATTGGGCGTTCACGCTTCTATATGACATGTGCCACTCTTTAAACCTTGTTACGACACAGGCACACTTCCCTTCTGACATGGGGGGGAAAAAGAGTATGGATTTTATAGACCTGAAGACTTTCTGAAACTCATAGTGATGGGTTTAAACATGCCAGAGGGAGAATGGGAAAAGGAGGCTAGAGAATGAACACTGGATTGGAACAGAGGAGGGGAAGACCTGTCTGAAAGGAACGTGTGATCAGGCGTTACAAGCATGACAACAGTCTGCAACAAGAGGTGTGTTGCAAAGTGGACTAGGAAAGAAGCAGAGGAAGGGGAGGGAGCAAAATCTACAACAGGGAATGGATGAAAACCTACCCTTTTGTTAAAGTCACAATTTTAAAAAAATGTAAAAACTGCCAGAGCTGGAGAACTTTAATTACAAATTACAGACAAGAAAGATTAGAAGGATGTGGGAGGATTTGGGTTGGAAGAGACAAGAAGCAGCAAGAACCCTTGAACACTCCAAGAATAAAATAAGGAGAAAAGATCTACAGGTCCCATGGGAAAGAGACTGCAGCAGGAAAATAGTTGCTGGTATTGTAATAGTTGCTAGCATTGTAGGGGGTGTTCTGGGTAGTGTGTGATACAAGCCCCAACTCACTAATACTCAGGTAAAAGCACACTGCTGTCTAAGGCTTTATGTCTATGGATTCTCCAGGAGACCCACGAGGAAGCAATACCTTGTGCAGATTAACTAGAAATTCCATGCAAAAAGAAATGGAGTTGGGAGTGAGAACTTCCCACATTACTCATAAATATTGTCATTTCTACCTAGCGATGCAAAGAATTCTAGACTCTAAAGTTTTCCCTGGTAAATTACAGAGAGAAGTAATAGATAAAGTTTAAAATAAAAATAAGCTCATTGCCTTCAAGTCAATTCCAACTCACAGTGTCATCAGGATTCCAAGCTGTAAATCTTTACAGGCAATCACCTATCCTTCTCCCACAGAGGGGCTGGGGGACGCAAACTGCTGACTTTACCACTGGTAAGTCAACTTGTAATTCATGATGAGGAGAAATAGATGCTTCTTAATTGTGAGATTCTGATCCTTCACAGAAAAATGCACAGGGTCACATACACATAAAGTGTTGCATTAAATTTCCAGGAGCATTTATTCAGAATGTCCAGAAGAACCCAAGATTGTAAGTGAAATCTACAGCAAAACTTTAAATCCAAGTGGTAACAGTTTGACCTATGATACAGCTAAAAAAAAAATATGTGATACTAGTGAACAACAATAATGAGAAATTGGAAAACGTAGAACTTTCTGGAAAAAACATTGAGTGGGTGTTTTGGGGGCTTGGAAACATTGAGAAGGAATCATGGAAAAACTGAGAACCAGGGTTGCATTTTGTAGACAATGTAACTACTCACAATGCCCACAGCTGTCTCCCAGCAAGAACCCCGCGGCACATCTGCAGGGTGCAGGGGTGGCCGGGGGACACTCTCATTCCAACCCGAGGAGTTATAATAGTTAAACAGAGTCCAGTGAGTGATATTCTTTATCGTGTCTTCGTGAGAAAGCTAGAAAGGAAGATGCAGAGACAGTGTTGGCGGGAGCATGGATCATATCCACAGGAGCAACACAGCTAAAGTCAGCGTGTGTAGCTTCCCTGGCGCCTAGTCTTTGCCTCCCCCTTTGGCAAAGTCTTTCTAGAAATAGCCTCCCAAGCTTGCTGTCTATTCTGGAAGAGTAGGTGGCTGCAATCCTCAGATCTTCTCATACTTTCTCCTCTAAGTAGGCATTTGTGATGGTTAGTTTTATACCCAGGCATAGGGACACCCATATGTCCATCATTTCTCCAGATAATCATTCTTTTTTTTTCTTTTTCTTTTCTTGTTGTGTACCACTGAGTTGGATCTGACTGGCACAGGAGATGCCCCTCCTTCTCCAGCAGAGCATCTGGTGGATTTGAACCGCATGCCTTTGGCATTGCAGCGCAGCTTCTTGCCACTAGGCCACCAGTGCTCCCGAATCATTCTTATTTTGAGAAAAATTTATTCAGAGTCTATTCTAGTGATACCGTAGACCAAGAGAGATGAGACCTCCTTCAGTTGCTTATTAAGTAACAAGAATGGACAGGCAAGTATGCAGAGGGGTGTGAGCACTGTGAAATTTACTCCAGGGACTTAGAAGGATTTGTGTCAGGCAGTCGGGGGAGCCACCGAAGGACAATGGCATCTTCCTGGAGACAGTGACATCTGAGCCAAAACTCAAGGGAGAGTTAGGAAACTAGTCAAACGAAAAAAGCAAGGTGAGGAGAAAAGGAAGAGACAATTTTGCCTCCTGGGAGGCTCAGAAGGGTAGACTATGGTTTGCTGGGTAGGAAGGAAGTCAAATGAGGGAGAGGTGAAAGCAGGTGCAGTCACTTCCATGCTTAGAACCTTCCTTCGACTCCCCATTATCCTCAGGAAGAAGTTAATGCAACTGAATAATGAGGAGCGAGGAGGGATGAGGGGTCTCAGCACTGAGCCTTCCTCCTGCTTCATTCTTCACTTCTTCTTCTATTTCATCATTCAGCCATCCCGAAACTCCCTGTTTGCACCAACTATTCTTCTCATTTTCCCAGAATTTCCTTGCATCTCCCAACGTGGGTTTCAAGTCCTCTTCCGTGGGCTTCCTCTGTGCTGAGCTTTTCCTCATGAAAGCAGACTCCACAATATACTGTAATGAATGATCTACTGGCCAGTCTGTCCCCTCCCACCGAATGGGAAGCCCTTCTGAACAGGACCCCTGTGTTGCTTGCTCCTAGGATCTGACACTGTGTTTGCCACATCTGGTGAGGTCTGTGAAAGATTAGATTAAACCAGGACTTATATTTCAGAGGATATTCTTCAGCTGTTAAACATTTGTGGCTGTTATGAAACAATATGGGAAAAGCTGCAGATAAAATAGTATTTGAAAGTTCAAGGTAGGAAATGACGTGTATATGATTGGAGCCTTGTAGAGGGGGTACCCTGATCTCATTGCTGTTGAGTTGGAACAGACTGAGAGATGACCCTTCAGCAGGTTTTCAGGGGCTAGAAATTGCACAAGAGGAGATTGCCCACATTTCTTCCTCAGAGCTGCTAGTGGATTTGAACAGCCAAAGAGGCATCCCTTTGGGTTAGCAGTGCAGCTCCCTGTGGACTAGGCCACCAGAAATTCCTTTTGGAAAAAAAAGAAATACAATCTAATAAAACAAAAGGAAGCAATTGTGGCCTAGCCATAAGAAGCTGTTCTGCAACCTGAAAGGTAAGGGATTCAAATCCACCCAGCTGCTTTGAGGGAAAAGGATGGGCAGTCTCCTCCTGTACAATTTACTGCCTCTGAAATCCTGCTGGAGGCTCAACTATGGATGGGTTCTGACTTGACAGAGCACAATGATAACAACAATAAAGCAAAAAGAACAGCAGAAAAATGGTGACAAAGATTGTCTTTGGGTCATTGGGTTCTGGGGATAATTTTTTTTTTCTGTTTTACTTTTCTGAACTTCCCAAAATGTATTTCACTCATGTGTGCTGCACATAATTAAAATATTCTGTTATAAAGTGAAGTAGAGCAGAGACTGGGAGGAGCCGCAGCTTTTACCTTGAGGTGGACGTCGTCCATGAGGGCCAGGAGAAATGTGTACAGGTTCCCCAAGAAGAGCGCAAAGATGCGGCCCAGCTGCCACTTGAGTCCGATGCGTGGGTGATAATTTTCCAGAGCTGCGATGGTTTCGAAGAGAGGAGGACAGAACATCCCAAGCAGGGACATCACAATCTCCACCTGAGAAATGAGGAAAGCCTGGGTGACTTTGTGTCATCAATATCCTCGCTTAACCACAGGTTCTGCATCCCCATGACCATCCACCTTCGTGTCCCCTGCTACCCATCCTCTCCCACTGGTGACAGAATCTTCCCAGCATTCTCTGTGGCCTTGGCTAAGGCTGATATGCCATCACCTGTCACCATATGCCCCGTATGTCCTCATTGTTTAACAGCTGGTTGCTGTCATGATTGTTGCTGTTTTGTCATTATTGTTAGGTGCTGTTGAGTCAAGTATGACTCCTAGTGACCCTATGAACAATAGACCTGAATCCTGTCCTATCCTGTGCCAGCCTCAGCATCTCTGATACACTTGAGCTCATTGCTGTGGGCACTGTGTCAACCGGCATTGATGAAAATGGTCGACTTTCTTTGAAGAGCAAATGAGTTAACACATGGGGCAGCACTTGTGTTCTCTCAAAGGGTGAACACTTTGTGCTCTGTCAGACTTTTTTGGGTTTATTTGAGAGCCAGGAAGTCCAATTTCTTTGCACACAAGTAAGACTGGGCAGTGCTAACCAAGGTCTTTATGAATGCACGGTCCACCACTTGTCCCAGGCGTCATGAGTGGGGATGTATTTTACTCCATGACCATCTGGGATAAGACGCTTTTGAGCCACCACGTCTTCAAACTCATCAGCATTGAACTTTGTAAAGCCCCACTTCTTGGAGATATGGATCATCTAGCACCCAGGGAACTTGAACTTGGCTCTGCGGAGGTCCTCAATCACATGCTCCTTCTTTTAAGTTTTGTACAGTTGGACATGATGGCATGGCCAATGCAGACCCTAGCCTCTATACCCTTCGGTTTTCTTGCATACCTGTCTGGAGTCTGTCAGTCCCAGCACAGGACAACACCTTGTTGGCGCGAATGACTTGGAAAGGATGCAGCTACACTGTGACGTGAAAACCATCTTTGCCATATCTTTTCACCAAGTACTTGCTGGCACAATTACAGACAGCCTCCAGGGATTCTGAAGAGAGCTGCTCATATTCAGCACAGACCATGTGACCACAGAGTGGGAACTCAGCCACTTCCGCCTTCCTCTGACCCAAGTCAAAGATGCGGATGTTGGCATCAGGGACACCTCTGCAGAAGCGGGACTTTGGATGGGGCTTGTTTTTACAATACCAGGCAGAGTGGCACCCCCTGGCAACACTGGGATCTTTGCAGTGCACAGAAGGAAAAGAGCAATTGTAAAAAAAAAATACTTTCTCCTAGATAACTCTAACGTATCATGTCTGAATATATGCCTTTCTACTAACTTGTATACTTTTAATCATCATAATTGTTATTATAATGTTTGTGTACTGTATTATGTGCAGTGTTTCTCATTGCCACAGCCAACTCTCAGTATTTCTATCTATAAAATGAATGATTTGTGTTTAGAAGGAACTAACTCTGGTGGCTTAGGGGCTAGGAGCTGAACTGCCATTTTAAAGGCAGGCAGTTCAAATCCACCAGTTTCTCCTTCAGAGAGAGATGGGAAATGTTCTCCTGTGTGATTTACAGCCTCTGATAATCTGCTAGAGGGTCATCTCTGTATGAGTCTGTTCTACTGGACAGCACCAAATACAACAACTTTTCAAGTGTGAATAGAATAAAATTATGCCAAGTTCTCCTCCTAATGTGGCCCTGTCTACAAAACTTACCTTGGCCACAGTCAACTCTCCTTAAAGATAAATCAGCACATCCTAAAAGCTCAATAAAGAAGTCATCCCTTAAATTATAAATCCTTGCATATCCATGTTTATCACGGCTTTGTTCATAATAGCAAAGATTTGGAAACAACCTAAGTGTCCATCTACAAGTGAATGCAGAGAGAAGCTGTGGTATATTCACACAGTGGAATACTATGCTGCATTGAAAAACAAGGAACTCACGAAATATTATTCAAAATGGTGATCCTGGAGGACATTATTCTGAGTGGAATATCTCGGTCGCAAAAGGACAAATATTGCATAGTGCCACTGTTGTAAAACAGGACTGACATTGGGGTTAGGAGGAGACTGAGAAAGATGGGATACATTATGTATACTGCATTGAAACAGATGAGAGAGAGAACTGTTTAAAGGTATGTATTATTGTCATGACAGGAGTCCAGAATGAAGGCTGCATAATGGAGTGGACCTGGGGGGAGGGATTGTAAAACAGTGAAAGAAAAACAAAAATTAAAAAAAAAATATAACCAAAAAAAAAACAGTGAAAGAATTTTTCTTTTACTTTTCAAAGAGAAGAACTAACTGGAAGGGAGGGGTGGGCAGGGAGAAAAGGGCAACAATGAATGAATGGAAATCCAAAAACTCTGTAAATTTTTCATTAAAATTATTAATAATGATAATAATGGAAAAAAAAGATAGCAAACAAAAAAAATTCTAAATCCTTGCAGCAGATCTGTGAGTGACTTGCACCCACTGGTAGAGCTTGATCCCAAGGAGAGTGTATATGTAGACCCGCAAAATGTGGTGCTGACTATGACTGAATTGGCTGACCCAGATGTAAAGGCAAACTCCATTTTTTAGTTAATCTGAAGCTTGGCCAAAGTCTCTGCTTCTGCTTTCCTGAAAAGACAATTCAAAGTCTTGTAAGAGTTTAACTGCCTATAGTACAAAGAGACCAAGGGTCAAGATTTTAGCCTGTAAAGTTGTTTGTGAAAAGATGTTTATGGGAGAGTATTTTCTATCCCATCTGGCTTGTGTCCTCTGGACAATCACCTTTAGATCCGTCTGCATCTGAAGCCAAAGCGAGCAGTCTCCTCAAGCTGTATTCTGAGACCCAATGTGCCTTCTGATGACCTATAACTTACCTGCCTCAGCAAGCACACTCAGGAAGGTACAGTGGAGGTTGGGTGGCAGAAGGAGTCCTATCTGATCAGGACAGAAATGCTCCTGGGCACTGCCAGGAGTCAAGGCTAGTGGACGACCTTCAGCACCCTGCTCTCTTCTGCCTCCACCAAGATTCATCATGGCTCTTGGTCAGAAGAGCCAGGACTGTGAGCAGAAGCAAGGGCTCTAGGAGCAGAGTGAGCCCCAGAGCCTGGAGGGGTGCAGGTCCCAAGTGCTGAAAGTGAAGGGGAGGCTGCAATGGCCTCTGCTCACTCCTCTGCCTCTTCTCCTGAGTCTTACCAGGATCTCAGAAGGCAGAGACTACTTTGGGGGCAGAGAGTACAACCCACAGTCCCCAGGATGCCTTCTCCTCACCAGGGCGATGTCAGCTGAGGGCATCAGCAGTCAGGAAAAAGAGGGTTCTAGTGCCCCCAGGGCTAGGTCCAACCCTGGGTGCAGGCGCACAATCTGGACAAGATAATGTGGAATCTGGCCAATTTCCTGCTCTTCAAGTATCAATGGGAGATGCCTACCAATAAAGAAAAGATAGTGGACCAGGTCATCAGAAGGTCTGAGAGACACTTCCCACAATCTTCTGGAAAGCTTTGGAGATCATGCAGTTGGTCTTCGGTGTGGAAGCGAAGGAAGTGAAGCCCACCTCCTACACCTATGTCCTGTTCTCCTTGATTGAGTTCACTTATGATAAGAGGTGGAGAGCCGTGACCTGAGCTTGCCCAAGAACGGCCTTCTGATCACAGTCCTGAGTACCTTCTTCCTGGAAGGCAGCCGTGCCAGTGAGGAGAAGATCTGGGAGGAGCTGGGAGAGATGGAAGTGCATGCTGGGAGGGAGCACTTCATTCATGGGGACCCCTGCCTGCTCTTCACTCAGGAGTGGGTGCAGAATGGGTATTTAGACATAAAGCAGCAGGTACCCAATAGTCAGCCTCCCCACTATGAATACCTGTGGGGCCTGAGAGCCCATGCAGACACCAGCAAGTTCAAAGTCCTGGAATATCTGGCCAAGGTCAGTGGCACTAACCTAAGTTCCCTTCCCAGCCAGTATTTGCAGACTCTGAGAGAGGGGAGGCACAGAGGTCTCGTCCTGGAGGAACTCAGGGCTCTCGACAGGGCCCTTGGTGGTATTCCCTCCAAGCAACAGCCACCATCTCTGACCTCTTAGACCCAGGGACAAACTTCACGCTGCTTGAAGAGGGTGGTCAGGACTCAAAGCAGTGGGGAGTGGGGGGAGGACGTTCTGGGGGTATGGCATATAGAAAGTCTAAAGTTCTGCTCTGAGGGGGGCGGGGTGTATCAACGTAGATAGTGTGTGTTTCTCCAGGAACTTTTAAACTATTCTTCCTTTTAATAAATGATTAAAAAATATGTTTAAGTAACAGTATGCTTAAAAAGATGGGGGGGGGGTCAGCAAAAGAGATTAAGACCCCCAACAAGATGGCTTGAGTGCAGCAAGGGGCGCCAGCGTGTCAGAGATGTTGAGGCTGGCACAGGATAGGACAGGGTTCAGGCTTGTTGTTCATAGAGTCACTGTGAGTCGTACTTGACTCAACGGCACCTCATAATAACAACAATATGCTGCAGAGCACAGGAATCAATTCTCTACTTTGAATATTTGCCCTTAACAATTACTCCATCGGAAGTGTTCCTCTTACCTCGTTTCTTTCATACCAGCTGACGTTCTGCATTTTGGAGAATTCCTGGGATCGCTTCACCACAAAGTAGATGAGGTACCCACTTCCACACAAACAGCAGATGATGAGGAAGTTGGCCAGGACACGGAGAAACCTTGTCAGATGGATGTTTTCTTCTTTATTACTCTCTTGTTCATCCACTATGGACTCCTTAATGTGTGAAAATGAGATGCGAACATTGTCAGGCCAGGAACCACTGGGGGCGGGTTGCTAAAACTACCACTTTGAATATTTCCATAAGTGAAATAATAATCACTACAGTGAACTGACACTCGGTGGAAAATTAGTTCTTTTATGGAAGAATATGTACTATGTTTTTTTGTTGTTATTTTGGTACATGTAATAACAAACACTCAAATTTATTGTTTACTTAACATGAGCCAAACATGGCACTAAGTACTTTGCATGCATTATCTTTCTTAAACCCAGCAACACAACAATGGCTTGTTTTTTGTTTGTTGTGTGTGGTTAAGTCGGAACCAACTCACAGTGGACCCTTCAATGAGTTTTAGAGGCAGTAAATCGCAGAAGAGGAGCTTGCCCATCCACAGAGCAGCTGGTGGATTTGATCTGAGGGCCTTCGGGATTGCAGCACAACTTCTTATCACTAGGCCACCAATAGATACTATTATTACCCCTGTTACAGATACTCAGATCTCAGTAACTGATTGGATTGTTTAAAATATACAGATCTAATAGATTAAAATAGAACCTTAATAATATTGAGTCTTCTAGCCCAGGAACCCGGCAAACTTTATTTCTAAGAAGCAGATAAATGCTTTTGGCTACTTGGCTGCATAGTCTTTCTCACAGTGCCATTTCAGCATAAGAGGCTCTGGAAACAATACAAAGATAAATGAGCATGGCTTGGTTTCAGTAAAACTTTATTTATACAAATAGATAGCAGACTGGATTTGATGACCTACGGGCTGTAGTTAGTTGATCTCTGTTTTAAGCCATAAGCATGACATATGCAGCCTTTTTTTAAAAAAAAATTATTTTTCTTATTTTCTGGGCATGTAATGTCAAATCAGATCTTAATGGTACAGGAGGAGATTGTCCCTCCTTCTCCAGCAGAGCATCTGGTGGATTTGAACCATGTACCTCTGGGATTGCAGTGCAGCTTCTTGCCACCATACGTAACCTTTTATTTATCACTTCTTAGTTTATTTCCAAGAATGCCTGGATGGTGGAAATGGTTAACACACTTGACTGTTAACGGAAATATTGGACTCTGGAGTCCACTCTGAGGGCTAGCAGGAGAAAGCCCTGGTGAATCATTTCAGAAAAATGAGACATTGAAAAGCCTCTGGAACACAGTGCTGTCACTTCGGGGTTTTCACAAGTCAGAGATGACACTATGAAAAGAGCAGATCTGACATGGGGGGGTAGGGAGGAGAATAGGATAAGAGCAGATAGATAATGAACATTTGCATTGGCACATATGAAGGAAAGGACTGTTTAAAAGGCGTATATGATTAGACATTATATGTATGACAGCAATCCAGAATAAGACGTACATTGCAAAGAGGACTGGGTGATGGAGGGAGGAAATATTGTGCAACAATGAATGACTATTAAAAGAATATATGATTAGACATTATATGTATGACAACAGCCCAGAACAAAAAGTACATTGCAAAGAGGACTGGGTGATGGAGGGAGTAAATTGTGCAACAATGAATGAATTGTTGTTATGTGCCATCGAGTCGCTTGCAACTCATAGCGACCCTATGTACAAGAGCTCTACACGCTCTTCTATCCTGTGCCAACTTAGCCATCTCAAAC